CTGCAGACCGGGGGACGGGGGGAGGGGGGGGCAAAGCAGAGCCAAGCCTCGGAGCGCGTGGGCAGCGGACAGCCCTGTCCGCTGCCCACGTGTTCCGCCGCTTTGCTTCCTCTCCCTGGTCTGCTGGAGACCAGGGAGAGGAAGGGCCCCGTTCGTAACATAAGTCGGATCCGCGTAACTCGGGGACTGCCTGTACTAATATAAATCTGTAGCAGAGACCTGGTTTAGGCTGTTTAGAACTCCTCCCTGCATTTAAGCGAACCTCTATCAAGCATAGCTCATTCTGCTTCTGTATGGTTAGAAGTGGCCATTCTACAAGGACAAATACCTTATCTTCTGTTACTCCCAGCACATAGGAATCTAGAACCATATTCCACAGCATGCTGTCTTCCTAACTCATTAGCACAATCCCACTTTCCTCACAGCCTGAATCTTCCTTTTTCCACTTTGATTTTGTTTACTTTTATTAAATGATGCCCGATGAAGGGTATGCTTGTATTTATTATATACAAAATGTGGTTTAGAGGGTGTGTATGCACAAGGAAACATGCTATGTCTCACCACCCTAGGACCATTCTAGAAAGAGGCCAAGGGGGAGGAGGAGCTCAACAGGTAGAGTGGAAAAGTACAAGCATGTGGTAAACAAGTCTATATATGGAAATGTTAAAGATGACTGGTCACACTGAGTATAGAGAATGTGATATGATTGGCCAAAGATTCATGTAATGTAACTGCCATGAGCCATAAACTATCAAGGGGAGGGGCTCCTCTCTCGAGGGAACCTGGCTGATTTTGTACCAGGGGCTCGCCTTTTGTGCAGGCTGAATAAAGATCTGTTGAAATGAACGAAGCGTCGAAGACTTAGGTACCACAAAATCCCAACACTGAAAAAATACTGACATGTTTAATTGAACATTTACCTTTTTACACCTCATCCCTTTTTTTACAAAAGCAAAATTTTACTTCTGTACTCTGAAGCTCAGCCAGTAGTTAGAGAAGTACTTCTGTACATGCTACTGAAATATGTTGACTTGGGAAGATGTCCACAGCAAGCTTTTCAGTTGCAACAAAGGAAAACCTAAAAGGTGATGTTGGCTAATCAAAAAGAATCTACTATCCCAGAAGCTTCTCAGAGAAGGCGCATCTATCATGGTAGAGGAGTGACCCATGTCACAAAGATCTTTCTAGCAGCTAGAAGTATAAAAAAGTGGCAATAACACCATCGCTTGGCCCAGGGTTTCCCAACCTATGGGTCAGGACTCAAATATGGGTCGCTATTACATTTCAAAAGGGTCGCCAAGTGTCTCCCCAGGTGGCTCTGCCCTCCCTCCTTGGGTCACCAAGTCTTCCTGAATTGTCAAAATAGGTCCCCATCTGGAAAAGGCTGGGAACCGCTGACTTGGTCTCTCTTTCCCCCACCCTACTCTCAACATCTGGAAGATTTTTGTAAGACAAAGACTTTGAACTCAAGAAGCTGGTCCCAGGCTGAAAAGCAGTCTGAAAGTATTGAGCAACTGTAAGCTGCCTGTAACATGTTAGGGTGCAAAACTGCTTGATTCAAATTGCTTAATCTGTTCAAGTTAGAATTTAGGACTGTGTTTCTGTTTTTATTTTTAGGTAACCAACTTTGATCTCTATGCCTTCTATTTATATTAAATTAAAATCCATTTGTAATTAATTAATCTGTTGGAGAATCTCATCTCAAATTGGACTTGTACGAGCATTTTGTACTTTCCAATGAATAACTGATAAACTAAATAATGAGCTTGCACTGATCAGGCTTCTGACCAGTGCAAGACTGTAGAGTTCTAGGGTGCGGGGCTGATGCTTGGGCCTCTCTACTGATGGTTCATGAGTGGTTGGGAAATCCTTCAAGTAACTCAGTTGTGCATGTCCCTGTTAGAGGCATGTAGTTGGACATTAGCACCACAGTATCAAAGACAACCCAGGCTGGTGAGTTTGGAAGGCTTGGCAGTCCCACAATCCAGGTTACACCTCAGGGATACCAGCACAGGGACACTCCAGCACTAGTTCTGTTTTAATAAAGGGTTAACATTTAAAAGAGGTGGAAAACCACTTTGTTACAGAAATTGATTTGTGAAGTAGTGCCACAATTTTCTGTACAAAAAAAAAAAAGGAAGAGATGGCAGTAGTTCAGTATTTCAGCTGGCTCTCATAACTGATGAAAAGAAATATGCTTACAGCCCCACCTAGAGTCATGCATAGCCATCCACTTGAAATAGCAAATAAATGTTTAAATAAACTTTATTCCCAAGCTTTATTGGAATAGTCCTCTCTCCCCAGGTGAAGCCTACATACCTAACTCCTCATCCCCAGCCCACCCAAGAGTAAATGAACAAAAACCAAAAACTGAATTAAGGACCCGAGCAATGCCAGGTTAATCTTCTAAAAGATTATAAAATGAAGTAACTTTTTAAAAGAATCCCTATATGAAGTTAGTTACACAGTAATAGCTTGTTCTATTTAGGGGAGCTACAATTTAAATTTAGTAAGATTAAATACTCCTCTTACCTTTTCTTCTCAAAACTTACTGAACTGTCCTTGATTTTTGAAAATTCATATGTGCAACATTAACTCTGCCCACTTGCACCTATGCATTGCAATAAGGACGTTATTACACTTATGAAAATATAAAATAAAAATGGCACACATTTGTAACAGACTAAACGCCAGGTGCTGGTGAAATAATTAATAGTATACATTTTAATGTAATAATCTTATTAGAGGAGTTAACGCGCATTTGAGATGCGCGTCAAGCATTACATGTTATAAAACATAATATTTCAATACAATCTTGTGTGATTGCTGCCGACTGAAAACTGCATATTTAAAACAATGTATTATTACTTTTGATGAATCTGAGTATATGAGTTCAACACTAAATCTGTAGCAGAGACCTGGTTTAGGCTGTTTAGAACTCCTCCCTGCATTTAAGCGAACCTCTATCAAGCATAGCTCATTCTGCTTCTGTATGGTTAGAAGTGGCCATTCTACAAGGACAAATACCTTATCTTCTGTTACTCCCAGCACATAGGAATCTAGAACCATATTCCACAGCATGCTGTCTTCCTAACTCATTAGCACAATCCCACTTTCCTCACAGCCTGAATCTTCCTTTTTCCACTTTGATTTTGTTTACTTTTATTAAATGATGCCCGATGAAGGGTATGCTTGTATTTATTATATACAAAATGTGGTTTAGAGGGTGTGTATGCACAAGGAAACATGCTATGTCTCACCACCCTAGGACCATTCTAGAAAGAGGCCAAGGGGGAGGAGGAGCTCAACAGGTAGAGTGGAAAAGTACAAGCATGTGGTAAACAAGTCTATATATGGAAATGTTAAAGATGACTGGTCACACTGAGTATAGAGAATGTGATATGATTGGCCAAAGATTCATGTAATGTAACTGCCATGAGCCATAAACTATCAAGGGGAGGGGCTCCTCTCTCGAGGGAACCTGGCTGATTTTGTACCAGGGGCTCGCCTTTTGTGCAGGCTGAATAAAGATCTGTTGAAATGAACGAAGCGTCGAAGACTTAGGTACCACAAAATCCCAACACTGAAAAAATACTGACATGTTTAATTGAACATTTACCTTTTTACACCTCATCCCTTTTTTTACAAAAGCAAAATTTTACTTCTGTACTCTGAAGCTCAGCCAGTAGTTAGAGAAGTACTTCTGTACATGCTACTGAAATATGTTGACTTGGGAAGATGTCCACAGCAAGCTTTTCAGTTGCAACAAAGGAAAACCTAAAAGGTGATGTTGGCTAATCAAAAAGAATCTACTATCCCAGAAGCTTCTCAGAGAAGGCGCATCTATCATGGTAGAGGAGTGACCCATGTCACAAAGATCTTTCTAGCAGCTAGAAGTATAAAAAAGTGGCAATAACACCATCGCTTGGCCCAGGGTTTCCCAACCTATGGGTCAGGACTCAAATATGGGTCGCTATTACATTTCAAAAGGGTCGCCAAGTGTCTCCCCAGGTGGCTCTGCCCTCCCTCCTTGGGTCACCAAGTCTTCCTGAATTGTCAAAATAGGTCCCCATCTGGAAAAGGCTGGGAACCGCTGACTTGGTCTCTCTTTCCCCCACCCTACTCTCAACATCTGGAAGATTTTTGTAAGACAAAGACTTTGAACTCAAGAAGCTGGTCCCAGGCTGAAAAGCAGTCTGAAAGTATTGAGCAACTGTAAGCTGCCTGTAACATGTTAGGGTGCAAAACTGCTTGATTCAAATTGCTTAATCTGTTCAAGTTAGAATTTAGGACTGTGTTTCTGTTTTTATTTTTAGGTAACCAACTTTGATCTCTATGCCTTCTATTTATATTAAATTAAAATCCATTTGTAATTAATTAATCTGTTGGAGAATCTCATCTCAAATTGGACTTGTACGAGCATTTTGTACTTTCCAATGAATAACTGATAAACTAAATAATGAGCTTGCACTGATCAGGCTTCTGACCAGTGCAAGACTGTAGAGTTCTAGGGTGCGGGGCTGATGCTTGGGCCTCTCTACTGATGGTTCATGAGTGGTTGGGAAATCCTTCAAGTAACTCAGTTGTGCATGTCCCTGTTAGAGGCATGTAGTTGGACATTAGCACCACAGTATCAAAGACAACCCAGGCTGGTGAGTTTGGAAGGCTTGGCAGTCCCACAATCCAGGTTACACCTCAGGGATACCAGCACAGGGACACTCCAGCACTAGTTCTGTTTTAATAAAGGGTTAACATTTAAAAGAGGTGGAAAACCACTTTGTTACAGAAATTGATTTGTGAAGTAGTGCCACAATTTTCTGTACAAAAAAAAAAAAGGAAGAGATGGCAGTAGTTCAGTATTTCAGCTGGCTCTCATAACTGATGAAAAGAAATATGCTTACAGCCCCACCTAGAGTCATGCATAGCCATCCACTTGAAATAGCAAATAAATGTTTAAATAAACTTTATTCCCAAGCTTTATTGGAATAGTCCTCTCTCCCCAGGTGAAGCCTACATACCTAACTCCTCATCCCCAGCCCACCCAAGAGTAAATGAACAAAAACCAAAAACTGAATTAAGGACCCGAGCAATGCCAGGTTAATCTTCTAAAAGATTATAAAATGAAGTAACTTTTTAAAAGAATCCCTATATGAAGTTAGTTACACAGTAATAGCTTGTTCTATTTAGGGGAGCTACAATTTAAATTTAGTAAGATTAAATACTCCTCTTACCTTTTCTTCTCAAAACTTACTGAACTGTCCTTGATTTTTGAAAATTCATATGTGCAACATTAACTCTGCCCACTTGCACCTATGCATTGCAATAAGGACGTTATTACACTTATGAAAATATAAAATAAAAATGGCACACATTTGTAACAGACTAAACGCCAGGTGCTGGTGAAATAATTAATAGTATACATTTTAATGTAATAATCTTATTAGAGGAGTTAACGCGCATTTGAGATGCGCGTCAAGCATTACATGTTATAAAACATAATATTTCAATACAATCTTGTGTGATTGCTGCCGACTGAAAACTGCATATTTAAAACAATGTATTATTACTTTTGATGAATCTGAGTATATGAGTTCAACACAGCTGCAATTTAACAAGTCAATTTATTATATACAGAGCACTTATAGTCTACCCATGAAAAGCGATTGTCCATGTTGATGTTATACTTTCCAAATCAGAAGTCAAATTCTAGACAACTAGAATACTATAGCTCAATCTTCTGTCATGAGCCAAAAAGCCAGATTTTCAATAGCGAGTTAAATAAAAGCATCCCTTCTCGTCTGTTCTTTGACAAATTCAAGGCTCAAAGAAAGTCCTTGGAAATGCTTGTGCACAGACTTTTACATCCGTCACATCATTTCCACCAATGCACCAAGATTTTATTCAAGTGCTACAGTGCAGCATATTTAAAAGGGGGTACTGTCAGCATAAAGAAAAGCAAAAAAAAAAAAAAAAAAAAACCCACCTCTCCCCTCCTCACTGATGTGGCCCCCAATTGAGACACCTTACTCCTCTGGTGCTCCAGCACCACTGGGTTTGGGGAGGATCAGAGAGGACTGAGTTTCAGGGCTTCCCATGACCCAGATTTAGCCTTCTGGGTTTCTGGGGTTAGTGGATTTTGTGGATCTCTCAGGCTCTGGGATTGTGACAAAATGAGGTGTTCAGTGTATGTGACAGGGCTGCCAGGATAGGGATAGCGGTGCAGGATCTGGGCTGGCAGTGGGGTGCCACCCAGAATGGGTATAAGAGGGGATGAGGATGCAAAGTCTGCTTGGGAGGTGGGGTGCAGGAGGAGGATGGGAGTAGGGAGTCTGGCCAGGGGGAGAGGGCAAGAGCAAGGGAAGGGGCAGTGTGTGGCTAGAAGAGAGGGTACAGGATGGATGCAAAAGCAGACTGAAGGTGGTGTGTCTGGCCAGTCTGAAGGGTTCAGGAGCAGGGTGGAGATGGGGTGCCCAGCCAGAGGGGAGGGTGCAAGAGCAGGCTGGGAGTGTGTAGGGGCACTTTCACGCTTTCATACCCCATGCTGCTTCCAGGCATTGTGTCCCAGGTACCATCTCTCACTGATCCCATTAGCCACAACTCGAGCCAACAGAATCAGCAGGGAAACCCTCCATTCAGTGTGCCCAAGCTCTGCTGTTTCCCCAGCCAGGGAAAGGAGAGGAGGAGTGGCAGCATGTCGAACCACTTCTAGCTCCACTTCTTCCTCACGAGGCAGATCTGGTGGGGAGGCTCAGTGCTTCCTCACCCAGCCCACAGAGAGAAACCAGCACCTGTGCTCCAACCTCATGGGCGGGTGGAAGCATGAGGCTGGAGTACCAGCATAGGCTCCCTGCCGTGGGGAAAAAGAGGGAGAGAAGGTGGAAAAAGGGCTGGGGGGCTGAGCTCAAGCTGTGCACTACCTGGAAGGCAGCCATGGATCACTAGTGGTCCATGGACCACAGTTTGAGAAACACTATCTAGAGATGTTACAGCCTGTCAGGCTGCACCATGCCCAACAGCAGTGAGAGGAGGCAGTGCTGGAGCTGAGACAGTGGCCAGCAGGAGATGAGAAGCCGTCCGGGCCAGCAGACTGGGTTGGGTGGGGGCCAGTGGCAGAGGTCCAGAAAAAAAAAAAAAAACACTTTCTCTAGTCTGGCAAAATCCCTTATCCAGAACTGGTCAGATCTGAGGGCGCTGGATCACGGAGGTTGAAACTGTAGTATTTCTAAAGTGACATGCACATAAAGCAACGGTGTGTCAAATGACGTGTGCTGATTGTACACAGCATTGAAAAGTGAAAGCCATGCACTCCCTCTGCATCCAATCAAAGTACTGCTACAATTCAATCAGCACACCCCGCAAATTCTAGATACACAAATGCAAAACCACTCTATCCCAGGAGACTGTCTCCGTTACAACAATCTTGCAGTCCACTGGAATGAAAAAGGGCAACTCATACAGACCACTCACTAGCCTAGGCTGCCCATTGCTGCTCTTAGGCATGCTAGGGGCCAGTGGCAGAGGTCCAGAAAAAAAAAAAAAAACACTTTCTCTAGTCTGGCAAAATCCCTTATCCAGAACTGGTCAGATCTGAGGGCGCTGGATCACGGAGGTTGAAACTGTAGTATTTCTAAAGTGACATGCACATAAAGCAACGGTGTGTCAAATGACGTGTGCTGATTGTACACAGCATTGAAAAGTGAAAGCCATGCACTCCCTCTGCATCCAATCAAAGTACTGCTACAATTCAATCAGCACACCCCGCAAATTCTAGATACACAAATGCAAAACCACTCTATCCCAGGAGACTGTCT